TCAAAATATGTTTGCGGTGAATAGACTTTTCAATATAGCATATTTCCATTTAGGATGGTAACTTAGACATATTAGGATGAGAGGAGTAGATAAGTAAAAGAATTGGAGAAGGTTTCAAGTGAAGCCAGAGGACATAGAATGACCACACAATCTTTAGGAAACTGTGAAATCCAAACGGGATAGACAGAGTCCAAGTATAAGGACAAGAATATATCTCGTTAACAGTAATAGGGGCTTACTTTCCCTTGAAACTATTGACACAATAATGAGGTAAAATGACAGAAGAAAAGAACATAAAGAAAAAAGAAAAATTATAAAAGAAGAAATTTGAGTTAGGGCAGGAGTAGGAACAGAAAGGGAGATGAGGGATAATATGGTGGAGCAAGAGACTGAGTTGGAGAAAGAGGACTTAAAAAAGAAAGAATTTGCAGAGTGGAATGAGAAAAAGAAAGAAAAAAATGAATTTGAAGGGCCTCTTTTAGAGTATCTCTGCTGCCTTAACATACAACATGCCCAGCCATGTACAGAACCAAGTCCCGTGATCTCAGCTAGCCGATGGCAGACCCCCACAATGCAGACTGACCTCAGGCCACAAGGCCTAGATTGAGTTCCCCGATCTGCAGGACTGAACTCAACACAGTTCTACTACAAGTTTCCTTTGCCCTTTCTTTGAAGATGTTCAAAGTTGGGAGCTCAGAAAAATACACTTTATTGAGCACCTGTGCCTCTGCAGAGTGGGTCCAAGGACCGGCAAAATCAGGATGTCCGAGAGCAGTGTGGGGCATTCAGGGGCTCCTGCACAGCTACCTTCCTTGTGCTGGAGCTGATGACCACGCAGGCAGGGAAGGATGTGGCTACCCAGTCCCACCTACTGGGCCCAAGCAGGCCGGAGGGAGAGCAGATCTCTGAGCAGCCTTCTCAAATCTCACCTTCCTTAGTTAATCCTATTAAGAACCTTACAAAATGAACATTATTATTCTCTATTTATAGGTAACTAGAATGAAAATCAGAAAGATTCACCAATACAGTTAACAACAAAAATTTGAAGATGCATCTGTGTGATTCTGAACTTTTCCATTCCATTCACAATTCTAGGCTGAAAAGTAAAGAGTTACAGAGTGGTGTAATATAGTGATTCATGGTACAGCACTGGCATCATCCTTCATATGTTTCTATGGATTTATTTATATTACAAAGACTACACGTTATTTTAGAATTCAAACAGTAGATAAATGTATTCAGTAAAGCTGAAAATTCCCCTGCTTGCTTTTCCATTTCCAGCCACTGCTACTAACCTACCTACCTACTCTCTGGAGATAATCAGCATTATTTTAGTCCTTACTGGTCATTCGAGAGCTGCAGATGAAAACAACACTAAGATTCCACCTCACCCTACAAAGAATGGCTGCTATCAAGAAATCACATAATAACAAATGTTGGCGGGGTTGTGGGGAGAAAGGAACCCATCTCCATTGTTGATGGGAGTGCAGACTGGTGCAACCACTATGGAAATCAATATGGAGATACCTCAAAGAGCTGGGACTAGAGGTTCCATTTGACCCAGCCATCCCTGTGCTGGGTATCTTTCCAAAAGAATTAAAAGAACCATACCACAGTGATATAGGCCCACCAATGTTTATAGCAGCACAGTTTGTAATAGCTAAAACTTGGAAACAGCCCATTTGCCCATCAGTTGGAAACTGAATAAAGAAGATGTGGTTTTTCTATAAAATGGAATACTACTCAGCCATAAAGAATGAGAAATTAGAGTCATTCATAGGAAAACGAATACATATTGAAGATATACTCTTAAGTGAAATAAATAAGTCACACATGTGAAAAACTATAATATTACACAAGATCCTAATGGGATAATTAATAAAGTGAAATAGGAAGAAAAGGGCTAAAGGTGTAGGGAAAGTGGGAAGGTTAGGGGAAAGGTAATAAGGGAAAAGGAAAAAATATGAGAAAATTAAAAAGTGGAAATAAAGTGTGTGTAAATGGGGAGGGGAGGAGGGGGTGAAGGGAGGGCAGGGACAAGGGGAAAAA